TTTATTTATTTATTTTTAATTTTATTTATTTATTTTTGAAATTTACCTCCAAATTAGTTAACATATAGTGCAACAATGATTTCAGGAGTAGATTCCTTAGTGCCCCTTACCCATTTAGCCCATCCCGCCTTCAGTAACCCTCAGTTTGTTCTCCATATTTATGAGTCTCTTCTGTTTTGTCCCCCTCCCTGTTTTTGTATTATTTTTGTTTCCCTTCCCTTATGTTTATCTGTTTTGTCTCTTAAAGTCCTCATATGAGTGAAGTCATATGATTTTCACCTTTCTCTGACTGACTCATTTCACTTAGCCTAATACCCTCCAGTTCCATCCACGTAGCTGCAAATGGCAAGATTTCATTCTTTTTGATTGCTGAGTAATACTCCATTGTGCATATATACTGCATCTTCTTTACACATTCATCCATACATGGACATTTGGGCTCTTTCCATACTTTGTCTATTGTTGATAGTGCTGCTATAAACATGGGGGGGTGCATGTGTCCCTTTGGAAACAGCACACCTGTATCACTTGGATAAATACCTAGTAGTGCAATTGCTGAGTTGTAGGGTAGTACTATTTTTAATTTTTTGACGAACCTCCATACTGTTTTCCAGAGTGGCTGTACCAGCGTGCATTCCCACCAACAATGCAAAAGAGATCCTCTTTCTCCACATCCTCATCAACATCTGTTGTTGCCTGAGTTGTAATGTTAGCCATTCTGATAGGTGTAAGGTGGTATCTCATTGTGGTTTTGATTTGTATTTCCCTGATGATAAGTGACATTGAGCATTTTTTCCTGTGTCAGTTGGCCATCTGGATGTCTTCTTTGAAGAAGTGTCTATTCATGTCTTTTGCCCATTTCTTCACTGGATTATTTGTACTTTGGGTATTTAGTTTGATAAGTTCTTTACAGATTTTGGATACTGACCCTTTATCTGCTATGTCGCTTGCAAATACTTATCCCATTCCGTCTCCCATTGCCTTTTAGTTTTGCTGATGGTTTCCTTTGCTGTGCAGAAGTTTTTTATTTTGATGAGGTCCCAGTAGTTCATTTTTGCTTTTGTCTCCCTTGCCTCCGGAGATATGTTGAGTAAGAAGTTGCTGCGGCCAAGATCAAAGAGGTTTTTGCCTGCTTTCTCCTTGAGGATTTTGATGGCTTTCTGTCTTACATTTCGGTCTTTCATCCATTTTGAGTTATTTTTGTGCATGGTGTAAGAAAGTGGTCCAGGTTCATTCTTCTGCATGTCGCTGTCCAGTTTTCCCAGCACCACTTGCTGAAGAGACTGTCTTTACTCCATTGGATATTCTTTCCTGCTTTGTCAAAGATTAGTTGGCCATACGTTTGTGGGTCCATTTCCGGGTTCTCTATTCTGTTCCACTGATATGAGTGTCTGTTCTTGTGCCAGTACCATACTGTCTTGATGATTACAGCTTTGTAGTATAGCTTGAAGTCCAGAATTGTGATGCCTCCTGCTTTGGTTTTCTTTTCCAAGACTGCTTTGGCTATTCAGGGTCTTTTCTGGTTCCATACAAATTTTAGGATTGTTTGTTCTAGCTCTGTGCAGAATGCTGGTGTTATTTTGAGAGGGACTGCACTGAATATGTCGATTGCTTTGGGTAGTATTGACATTTTAACAATATTTGTTCTTCCTATCCAGGAGCATGGAATCTTATTCCATTTTTTTTTGTGTCTTCTTCAAGGGCTTTCATAAGCTTTCTATAGTTTTCAGGGTATAGATTTTTCACCTCTTTGGTTAGATTTATTCCTAGGTATCTGATGGTTTTTGGTGCAATTGTAAATGGGATTGGTTCCTTGATTTCTCTTTCTGTTGTTTCATTGTTGGTGTATAGGAATGCAACCGATTTCTGTGCATTGATTTTATATCCTGCAACTTTGCTGAATTCATGAATCAATTCTAGCAGTTCTTTTGTGGAATTTTTTGGGTTTTCCATATAGAATATCATGTCATCTGCAAAGAGTGAAAGTTTGACCTCCTCCTGGCTGATTTGGATGCCTTTTCTTTATGTTGTCTGATTGCAGTGGCTAAGACTTCCAATACTATGTTGAATAACAAGTGGTAAGAATGGACATCCCTGTCTTGTTCCTGACCTTAGGGGGAAAGCTCTCAGTTTTTTCCCATTGAGGATGATATTAGTATTGGGTGGTTCATATATGGCTTTTATGAACTTGAGGTATGCTCCTTCTATCCCTACTTTCTTGAGGGTTTTTATCAAGAAAGGATGCTGTATTTTGTCAAATGCTTTCTCTGCATCTATTGAGAGGATCATATGGTTCTTGTCCTTTCTTCTATTGATGTGATGAATCACGTTAATTGTTTTGCGGATATTGAACCAGCCCTGCTTCCCAGGTATAAATCCCACTTGGTCGTGGTGAATAATTTTTTTAATGTATTGTTGGAGCCGGTTGGCTAATATCTTGTTGAGGATTTTTGCATCCATGTTCATCAGGGAAATTGGTCGACAGTTCTTTTTAGTGGGGTCTCTGGTTTTGGAATCAAAGTAATGCTAGCCTCACAGAAAGAGTCTGGAAGTTTCCTTCCATTTCTATCTTTTGCAACAGCTTCAAGAGAATAGGTATTAACTCTTCCTTAAATGTTTGGTAGAATTCCCCTAGAAAGCCATCTGGCCCTGGACTCTTGTTTTTTGGGAGATTTTTGATTACTAATTCGATTTCTTTACTGGTTATGGGCCTGTTCAAATTTTCTATTTCTTCCTGTTTCAGTTTTGGTAGTGTATGTTTCTAGGAATTTGTCCATTTCTTCCAGATTTCCCATTTTACTGGCATATAATTATTCATAATATTCTCTTATTGTTTTTATTTCTGCTGTGTTGGTTGTGATCTCTTTCATTCTTGATTTCATTTATTTGGGTCCTTTTCTTTGTCTTTTTGATCAAACTTGCTAGTGGCTTATCAATTTGGTTATTTCTTTCAAAGAACCAACTTCTGGTTTCATTGATCTGTTCTACTATTTTTTTGGTTTCTATAGCATTAATTTCTGCTCTAATCTTTATTATTTCCAGCAATCACCACCTTTCTAAGCTTCAAAACTTGAACCAAAATAGTTCAATAGCAGTTTGGCCAGTAGAATCAGGTAAAGATATAAAGGCATATGCGAAAATATTAGTTAAGCACACACACACACACACACTCTCATGTACACTCACAGAGCTTAAAGTAGGCAAATCCTTCATTTAACAAGTATTAATTGAGCACCAATCACATGTTGAACTCCATCAACATTTAGTAGTAATTCAAAAGTTTTACATGTCAGACAGATTGACCTCTCTCATGAAGGTTGTTAGAACAAACAAACTCAAATAACTGCTACGGAGAGGACACACAGGGGTGTGAAAGAGAGTGACTGGGTGGATAGCAGGTGGTCTAACAGGTGGTCTGGGCAGGCTTTTTAGACAAAGCAACATTTGAACTAATATACAAATGACAAGAAGGAGCTTAGCCTGTGCTTTCTAATGATTTCTAAGACCAGTAACTGCAACTAATAATTCTCAGATTTGCATTTGCTTCAAATTAAACCTACCTAATAGCAGTTTTTTTGCCAAGTAACCTGGCATTATGTGCAGATATTTTTGGTCTGTGACTGTGGGCAGCAGGTATTTAAGGAGGTTTTAAAAAACTGAATAAACTGGAAAATAATTTCAGTACTTTAAAACTCTTCTCAGTTGTATTTTCCCTTTGGATTTAATGTCAGGAAAAAAAACAGTGAAGTAAGCAAGATTATAAAAAATGTTTTCTTCAGAATACATAAGCAAAAAATACATATAGCCATAATTATTTGAGCAATATAAGTGAAAGCCACAAATATTTAACAGTTATCATCAAATATTAGCACATATACCTCATGTCTTGGATAAGAGAGACCCTGAGTGTTGGCAACATAACTCCTGAGTCAGATTTTCTTCTTTCTGGTCCAAGGGCAACTATATAAAAAAATACCAGCAAAGTATTAGAAAAATAATAGCAAGTACAAAAAAATATATACATGGTTCACATCATATAAATAAATACTTTCAAATTACTTTGATAAGAACACATTTCTTTAAAATGTTTATTTATTTTTGAGAGAGAGAGAGAGCGAGCATGAGTGGGGGAAGGGGCAGAGAGAGAGAGGGAGACACAGAATGGGAAACAGGCTCCAGGCTCTGAGCTGTCAGCACAGAGCCCAACGCAGGGCTCAAACTCACAGACCATGGATCATGACCTGAGCCGAAGTCGGACGCTCAACCAACTGAGCCACCCAGCCGCCCCGATAGGAACAAATTTTAAAGACAACAGAAAAGCTAGAAATTTTTTCCCTGAATGTTGCTACTTTATTAATACAGAAAAACAGCTATTTCTTTCTAATTAATCTGAAGCTGCATTTGGAAATTTAAAATGAATCATAAAAGCCTACTTTAGCAAATAATAAATAAACTTTTGGTCATAAGGACCAGTCATTGGCTAAAGTTATTCATTCTAATAGCTCAGGATAATTACAAGGAAGCAATGTCTATAAATTAAGCTACTAAGTGTGTGATTCACGTCTGGGCTCATAAATTGCAATCACATAATTTCCTTATGCTGTGAAAGAGTGCTTAGTAAGGAAAATCCAGGGGCACCTGGGTAGCTCTGTTGGTTAAGTGTCTGACTTCGGCTCAGGTCATGATCTCACAGTTCAAGAGTTTAAGTCCTGCATTGGGCTTTGCACTGACAGCATGAAGACTGGGATTCTCTCTCTCCCTCTCTCTGCCCCTCTCCCACTCTCTCTCAAAATAAACAAACTTAAAACAAAATAAAATAAAAAGGAAAATCTAGGGGTGCCTGGGTGGCTCAATCAATTGAGTGTCTTGACTCTTGATTTCGGCTCCAGTCATGATCTCACAGTTCATGAACGCAGAGCCTGAGATTCTCTCTCCCTCTCTGTTCCTACCTTGCGCTCTCTCTCTAAAAATAAATAAATAAACATTTTCCTTTTTCAAAAAAAGGAAAATCTAAGAGTCTAGGCTCTCTAGTCTGATAAGTTTCTACTTCAAAGTTCAGAATCCAAACTACAGTATATCAGGCAGAGTGAGTAATCGTCATGGACAGTTAGAAGTTTAATGTCCATGAATCATTCTCTTTGGAGCTTGAATGGTTAACATTTATAAAAGAAGGAAAGATTATTCTCTTATATAGCAATAGCTAAGCAAGCAATTGTTGGCTAATGTAGCTGGAGGAGTACTCAATCTCACTTTAAATGGGATGTTGTGGAGTTTTGTGCCCTTTATTTCCATTTTACTATCTGTAAACGAAAACTAAATTGCAGCATCACACTTAGCAAATACATGGATAACATTAGAATTTAAGATGTGGGTTTTACTGTATATTAAACGTCCATTTCCCCAGTTTTTAGATCCATTCTAGTTTGTGGGGACTAGGGTACAGTGCGGAAACACATAGATATATTTGAAGCTGGCAGTGAACATTTTGTTGTATTTGGATCTGCATGTTTTGGCATCTAGTAAAAGAGGCTAGGCTGATACTTGGCAGGTATGAATGAGCACTGATGAGGCTGCCAGGATAAAGAGACAGTGGCCAGGACAACCTAAAGGCAGTTCTTTTCAGGGCCTTCCATTACCAGGTCATTTGTCATGGCAGTTTCGGGAGGGAGTTTTCAATGGGTCACTGAAAATGCTACTTTATCTGGATACCTAGGAGGTAACAGATACCCAGGAAACTGTTCCAGAGACTTGCAGGGAATGTGCTATGTTAGTCTTCCTGTCTGAGACTATCACGATTTAAGTGTGTTGTTAATGAAAGCACACCTTAGAGAACGCCTCTACGTGCTAGATGATTAGACAGCATGAAAGAAGGCCACACCAGTGGTAAGAAATAGGTTGAAAAGAGAGAGAAAAAAAAAGGTCACAAGGCAGGAGAAAGGAGCTGAAACCATAATCAGCAACTTGGCTAGAGGGAGACATGACAACAAGAAAGAATCATGCCTCTGGAAGCAGAGAAGAGGGGAGAGACTTAATAAAAAAGGAGGCTGACATTTAAAAAAGCAGCAGCATCCACAATAAGAGCATTCACAGGCCTAAGCTTTTTTCTAGGAATCCTATTTTGGAACCCTATATCCTCCACTCTTTGCTAATCAATGTTTCTTAAACATACGATGTATTTTTTCATGTCTCCATGCAATCTGTTAGTCGTTAGCTCGCCCTTTAACACTTCTGTATCCTTCTCCATGTTTATAGCCTACTTAGCGTTTTTTTTTTAAGAGAAAGAGCTCACACATAAGCAGGGGAGAGGGGTGGAGAGAGAGAGGGAGGGAGGGTGAGAGTGGGAGGGAAGGGGAGAGAGAGAGAGAGAGAGAGAGAGAGAGACAGAGAGAGAGAGAATCCCAAGCAGCACACGATTAGCACAGAACCTGACGTAGGGCTTGATCCCATGGCACTGGGATCAGGACCTGAGCTGAAATTAAGAGTTGGATGTTCAACTGACTGAGCCAGCCAGGTGTCCCCAGCCTATTTAGCATTTTAGGTTGAGAGGACTATAGTTTAACAGCTAAGAACATGGCTTTCTCAAACCCTACAGAGAACTTAACAGCTCCCTGACTTTGGGTGAGTAATTTTACCTCTCTATGGTTTGTTTTGTCATCTGCAAACAGGTCAGTAACAATATCTACCTTAGAATACTTTAGCACTTAGAATACTGCCTGGAACAAAATAAGTTCTCAATAAATAAAATAAAATTTAGCTTTAATTTTGCCTCTTTGTGAAATCTTTCCTGAATATTCTCTCTAAGGTACACTGTTAGATGTGGTCCCCTCTAACAGGACCTATAAAATTGAACATGTAACATAAAATTAGCATAATCTAACATTTCTACTACTGTTAAACTATATGCCTCGAGGCTCAGTCATATCTTTTTCTTAGGATACTCAAAGGGCCTAGCAGAGGCCCAACATACAGGCTCAACAAATACTCAAGGAGGAAGATGAGACTATTTCGGGCCAGATGGCAGAGCCTTGAATGACAAATTAGAAATCTGCAGAACTCCTAGGAAAGGGGGGAAGGATTGTGAAAAGAATTCTATACTCCCGAGGGCTTTTTATTAGTTAGTTAACCACAGTGAGAGTGTGATGGTATAAGAGAAGTAAGGGAGATGAGCTACAAGTTATTCCAAAGGCCAGCTTATGGATAAAGAGTGGCAGCCAGTGAGAACAAAGAGGAGAAACGTGCAGTGGCAGCAAACACAGAACTTAACGACTTGATGGAGAAAGTGAACAAGATTCATCCACTGCTGCCAACAAGAACTTGAAAACTGCAGATTTTCAGTTTTGGAGGGGGCCACGGTGTGTGAGGCATAAGAATCTGGTCAAGGTCAATTACTCATGGTTTCAGCACTCTGACAGCGATGATGACTTTATTTCTGCAACTACACCTTTAAATGAGAAACCCAGAACACCACCAAAGGAGTTAAAACTAGAAACAAGGAAACCTAAACTGAAGAATCTCCAGAAAGGAGATATCCCACTGCAAGAGAAAACCCCTAAAAATAGGATGGCTTTAGGTGACAAGCTATACCAGCAAGACTTAGAAGTTGCACTAGCTTTATCAGTGAAGGAACTTCCAACAGTCACCATTGATGCAGAAGAGGCTGGAGATAAAAGCATTGAAAAATGTGACAGTAGTGAAACCAAAACAATGAGTAAGGACCCTCATATCTCCAATTGCAATGTAGCCAGTGATTATTTAGATTTGGATAAGATTACTGAGGAAGATGGTTTTCCTGGTGTGCAAGGGAAAAGAGAAGCCACATCAAAGACTGTGGTACAACAGAGGAAGATTCTTCTGGAAGGCAGTGATGGCGACAGTGCTAATCACTCTGAACCACACTTTGCAACTGGTAAAGAGTCTGAGGATGACTCTGATTTTAGTGAGAGTGAAGACAATGATGAATACTTCACCATGAGAAAAAATAAGGTGAAAGAAATTAAAAAGAAAGAAGTGAAGGTCAAATCCCCAGTTGAAAAGAAGAAGAAACCTAAATCCAAATGTAATACTCTGGAAGCGACTTCAGGAGGCTGCTCAAGTCGCTGTGAAATCAGAACCTCAGCCTTCACCAAAAAAGGTTCCTGTTTCTTCAGAGGCCACTAGGAAACCACTACAAATAAGCAGTCCTTCAGGTGAAAACAAAAAACCTAAGTGGGTTCCACCAGCGGTATCTGGAAGCAGCAGCAGCAGGAGCCCACTGGAGAGTCTCCGCCTTGGTTTGTCCAGATTAAACTTTGCATCCAAATGCTGCTAGTAGCTGAGTGTGGTAGTAAACCCGTTTGATTAAGAGAATCACAGTTTTACAAGTGTGTTTATATTTGATTTGTGTTTATATTTAAGGAGGGTATCAAAATATAAAGGAATCCTTTAATGTCCTATAAATCGCCTCTACTCATTCTGTGATGTTCTCTGAAGCTATTCAAGACTTCAATAAAAGGTTTATCAGAATTATCTTGCAATATCATTTCCTTCTGAAGAACATATGCTACTTTTCCTGTGTATAATAAGTCATTGTCATTAAGTGGTTGTCAGTTTGACATGGAGGAAGTCCATGTTGCATGCTGTTCTTTCCTAGAAACATGATGTTCCTTTCTAGCTTTGTCTAATTTACACACCTTAACTGTAACTGTTCAGAGTTTATCTGGCAAAAGGAAACATTCCCACGTTTTCCAGGAGACATTTCTGATATTTTACCGAAGCCACACTGTCAGTTTTATTGCAAAGATGTTTCTTATTTTAGCCAAATACTTATAGTAAGAATTCAGAATTCTTTTACACATTAAAATGGTTGCTATAATGACATATGTCTCCTACTCAGAAGTAGATGTTTACTGTAGAGCAAATAGAATTTCATGACATTTTATGAAGTTCTTGTCAAAGCCTTTAATAAAAGTGAAAAAGAAAAA